GCAGCTGCCCAGAGCACGCTGGGAACGTGGTTATCCGGGGCATGCTGGGAAGGCTCCCAGAACTGCTTATCCGGCTTCTGAGGGTGGGGAAGGTACCCCCAGGCGCAGGCACACAGTACAGTGGGGTCAAGCATCTAGCTGACCTAATTAAAAGCTCATTACAGCAGCCCATCCCCATTAACAGGCTGACCCACGTGCAAATCCATTAACACAGGAGTCTTCTCTGCTTCCCAAACCGGGAATCCCAGCCGCAGCCCCGGGGCCTGGAAACTCCGGCCAGTTTATTGAAGTGCCTTCCCCGCCTGTGACCATCAGGTACAGTTTCTTCTTGGATTACCTCACATTCCAGTAAATTAGTTCTATCCGCTCTGAAACATTTTAACAAAGAAAGCTCTCTGGTCATCACATGGGTAAAATAACAAGGGATAAAAGAACGTGTACTTCACCTAATCAGAAAGAACGCTAAATCTTTCTTGAAAATGCAGCCTTTCCTGTCCCGCCACCCTTTTCATTTATCTTAACACTGGTGGGATTTTGAAATTTTCGTCTATAGTCAGACTATGGTACAGGTCCTCCTTTCCTTGTATTTTATATAATTGTTGCCGACCTTGACAGAAGATCTCAAAACTTGTTAAGTATAAAGTTGGTAAATGATACTATTGTTTGGGAGGTGGAGGTGGGGCTGAGGGTGAGGGTGGGGGTGGGGTGGGAGCAGGGGGTTTATCTAGGGAAAAAGAAAAAAAAGGAAAATGCACCCTAACCAGGCTCAAATTAACTGAAATGGATCAAAGTAAACAGAGACATCTAAAAGCTTTTGTAAGTTGAAAGTGGCTATCTGTTGCAGGTCTTGCCTCATTAACCGCTGATTGAAGCTCTGCTTGGCCCTCTGGGATACCTAACACCCCAGGCCTATCACCAGATGAACCCGGCTTAGGCGCTCTTGCTTTTCCCTGTGTTGCTTTGCACAGCTCCTTGACCTCAACCTTCTCACAAATGTTTATCCTTCCTACCAGGCAAAGGGAGAATCTTACCGGGAATCTCACTTCTAGCCAATGAGGAATTTACAGAAAAGCGAAATGGAAGGAATCATTTTGTCATCTGTGCAAATCTGTATTCTGAAAGGTAGATGCACAGCTGTGGTGTTTTAAATAAGCCTCTGCACAACATTATGTAGGGGAGAGAGTCCGCAGTTTGTTTCTCCCTGGGTGTCGCCTCATTTTCATATGTATATGGTGAAAGGTGATGATTAGGCCATATGCTTTAAGATATAGCTATCTCTTGGCCCCCATGGTCCCAGCCCGTCACCAGGCCATTCAGCAGGGACAGGGAGCTGAAACTGAGAGGCTGTCTAGGAAAGGCAGAGAGAATGGTAGTCGGGGAGATCTGGGGGAGGAAGGGAGGGAGGAGCAGGGCTCTTTGAGTAGGACCAGATAGGTCTCTGTGTAGAGTAATATTACAGCTCTTTCTCTCATAAACAAGCTGCATGCCTGCTTCTAAAGACCCATCTGGCATAGCTTTGAGAATGGCAATAATTACAAGCTGATGATGGACATGGAAAAAAAGCCCCGCTGAGCTAACTCATAAGGAAGTACAGGCCAGGACTGCAGGGAAATTACAGGCTGAAAACCTTTCTAGTTTAGGCCTTTTGGTGTTCTTAATCACAGACTTTAAATGTTGTAATAAACACTGTTGCATTTTATTGACCAACTCCCATGACAGGCAAATCTTTTTCATTTTATTTTATTTTTACCATTTGCTCTTTGGAAAGCTGCTTGGTAGTATCTGCCTGTGCCATGCCAATGGGTCTTTTGCTTTTCTGCTCATAGGAAAATTAGGAAAACAAGAGTGACTTTTTATTTAGTTCCCAGAAATTTGCAAATTTTTTTCTACATTGTTCTCTGTGTTCTGTGGTTCAGGCAGACTTCCAGGCTCTGTGCTTAACTTATAGCTGTGTAAGATAATGGTCTGGTAGTTTCAGTCAAAAAGATTGAAGAGGATTACAAAAAGAAAAACGAAAAGTCAACTTAGGAAGATTAATCTATGATTCTATTCTATATCATCAAATAGTGTTTATGATATAAAAAGAAGTAAAAATCCAAGCTAAATACTATATTGTTAGATTAACGGAATGCTAAGTCCTGGCCTTGTTTTAGAGATAGATGGTCCTTATTTCAAGGATGGATTTGATATTGGAAGGATGATCCTTTTCAAAGTTTTGGAGCTTTTACAAGTAGAACTAAGACATTTTGTCCTCTCAAACATTTTAGACCCCTTAATGGAGCAAATACTTTTAGGAAATTATCCTAAGAAGAAAATGGAAACACTGAAAAAGAATTTACTTCCATGAAACATTATTAACCTCAAAATACACAGTTTAAATGTCATAGCAAAGGAAGTCTTCAATATAGCATATTACCGGTTGCTGTTATGAGTTTCACACTGTAATGAGGAAATTTATTCTAATTTAACATATGCTATCGGTCTCCATGAAAAGAATTTGATGTTCATTTTATACATTTTAAAAGTTTTAGTTTAGATACAATGAAGAATCACATGGATTAGGATTTTTATTGACCCTATTAACTTATACAAGTATATTCTTGTTCAAAATACACCTTTTTGGAATTTAAAGCAGAACATGTAAAGTTCGTTATTCTTTAAAGAACTAGATACTGCTTCTGGAACTTATTTTCAAGTCTTTCCTTCTGTGCCACAATTTCTTATTCATTTTCCTTAAAGACTTGTATTTTATTCTTTGTGTTTTGTATACAGTCCTTGCTATCCCAGATGGATTATTTAGTTCTATCCTTTGCATTTGATTACTTGTTCAAGCACATAAAGTTTTGGGGTCTATGAAGTTAAAGTAATGAAATGGTTGTGCCATGGAAATTTACCAATGTAAACTTAGTCTCTTGTCCCTTCCTAAGCATTGCTTTACCTGAAGCTCCCTTGTCAATGAGAAGTTATTTCCTTATATCTGTCTCTTTTCCTGTACAGGCTAGAATTGTTCCTAACAAAAGAAGCATGCATTGGTGAAAACTATATATTAAATGCAAGACTATTTGTCTAGTTTTCATTAGGTTGCTGAGTGAAAAGCCTTAATTCCTCTCTTTTCCCAAGGTACTCAGATATCCACGAAGTCCTCCTCATCTCGCACTATTATTTCTCTCACTGGGCACAATCCAGCTTTAAAGAATTCAACACTTACTGGTCTTCAGAGGACTGTCAGCAATGACAGCAACCAGGGATGCTGACATGTCTTGTTGTTTACAAAGGATGAGCACAAGGCCTTTTGGATGACTTGATAAGCCCTGCAACTCCTCTCTCACTGTTTCTCACCTCTCTGGACCAGCTGGCTTTGTGTGGTGAGCTAAAGATGCAAATACTAAAACTTGATCTAAACACCGACAAGTCAGCAAACACAGCAGCAAAGATAAAGCTGCTCAAGGTTATTGTGTAAATCGTGAAAACAGAAACAAGAATATTTCAGTCCCTGAATCCTTATATGCACATCACTTAAAACTGGATGGAAAAAAATCCTAGAATAGCATTAAATTCATATATTATTATTATAGCGTTGAATATTTAATCTCTGTTTCTCACATTAGCATCCTTCCGCTTCTCTAGAAAACCCAACCAATGCTATAGTTAAATTAAGTAAAAAGTTTTTTTTTTTAAAGTATCCCGAATATACTGTTTCCTATTTAGGGAATTCAGAAATGTCTTGGAAATTATGCAAATGCATATGCTTTTCCTCATTCATACTTTGTAAAATGTAAATTTCTTTTCGGGAAGTTGGACCTCCTTTCTCCTTTTCTTTGCCTTTCAGTGTTGAACACATGGAAGAAAGGAAGGTTTCATGTGTTTATGTTGTATTTGGTTCAATGCTTTTCTTAAATGATATATAAATATAACTCTGCCAATGCATAGAGTTTAGGGGTATTGTCTTTCTTAAATTCTTTGTAATTGATTGAGACAATACCATTTATCTTCTAAAGGTGTCCGACTGTTCCTAGAAATGAGCTCTTCCAAGGTATGCATACAAAAGATTTTTACAGTAGGCTTTTCTGCTCCCCGTGCTATCTTTCTTACAGAAATGTAATTGCTGAAAATATAAGTGTATGCCACAGTCAACAAAGTGCCTTTTTAATTATTAGCAACTTAAAGCCCACATCAATCATGAAACTTTCGCTTGACATTGACAGTTACAGAAAGGGATTTCATTTTGATTATGAGATAGAATCTTATGAGAATTGGTCACTGCTGACAATGTGGTCCACTTTTTCTGAACAGTTTTCATGAGAAATATGCTTAATCTTTACCGAAGTATCTGGCTGTAGAATTAGCTCCATTTCTAAATCACTGCTTCCTTGTTACTGAGTCTCAGATTGCTATTAAAAATGGTTATTCCCTTTTCACAGGTGGTGAAACTGCGATTTTCGGATCCATGCAGCTTTATGGAATATAGTATGGGTGAATTATGAACCCAGGTCTGTATGCTTCCAGGTAAGTTTTCCATTTTGCCATACTCTCCTGTGAACCTAGTCTGAAGGTGGAGTTCTAACTGGGACACTGAGGACAGAAGGGCCCATTAATTGAGACTTTGAACATGAGAAAAAGTGGAATGCAAAATAGCATGCTCACAGCTGTTTTCAAGCAATAGCACTGTCTAAAACCGCTAGGAATGAATAGACCTATGTGGCTAGAAATTGATGCAAAGGAAGAATATTCACTCTGGGTCAGTTTTTGAGCCTATAGAATTAGCTAATATTGTTGATTTTGCTCATGGCTGCCTCTCTGATATGTTGGAGGCAATTTCCATCTTCCTAACAAGTTAAATGCATGTTGTGATTTTAGCAGGCTAAAGTGTTAACTCTTGTTTAAATATCTATATTTAGCATTATTCATAGAAGTAACACAATTACCTTCTTTTCCATACAGAGAGCATGACTTTTTCAGAAAAGTATTCAAAGAATTCATTGGACCATTATGTTAGGGACACTTATTCATCAATACCGGATACAGATTTGATAAAGATTTGTGCTCTTATGGGATGCACTATTCATATACTATTATTATTATTATGGCCTTGAATATTTAATCTGTTTCTCACATTAGCATCCCTATCCACATATAGATTGGACTTACTAGTGCAATTTCTAGCAAAATGAGAATGTTACCAGTAATCATCACACAAAGGATGTCATGGTAAATCAAGGCTCAGAAAATGATATGCTACCCAAGGGATGTAGCATTGTGCTTCTACCCTGTTTCTTTTCAAGCCCAGTTACACCAGTTTCTTATTTAGTCTGGCTGTGGCATTCAGATATTTGTTCAGCTCCAGGTTTTGTTATTTCTGTTTTTTGTTTGATTCTGGCTTGAGCTTGTAGGGAGTTAATTGTGTAGTTTAAGGTCCTTCTGCTTCTAGCTCATCTTGAATCCATGTGTCATTTTCGTGACTGGGTTTTAAAATTTCTCAAATAAATGCATTGGTCTGCCTGCCTAGTGTTTGCATATTTTAGGCTTCTATCTGCGAAGAGAAGAGGCCATGAGATCTGCTAACACGCAAAAAAGAAGATAAAAGCATTTTAAAAAATGCCTTCTTGCACACAGGCCTGCTTTATAATAAACCAGAGCAGTGCAGGAATTAAGATGTTGTTGAAATGCCAAAGTGTTTCTGCCCTTTTATTACATCTAGGGTGATGAGGTCATGGCTTACTGTTTAGCTTATATGGTACAATTAAGAGATTCATTTCTTAATGTGATTCATCTCAGGAAGAGTTGACTCAGAAAAGTTTTAGGGGAGAGGCAAGACTCATAGGAGATGTAGAAAAATTATGATTTTCTTCTGGAAGTTCGAGTTCATTTTTTATTTTTATTTCAGGTAAGAATGAGGAGAGCTGTAATGAGTCTGTCTTGGATTTCTGGGTAACAGGGAGTTGCTGTTTTGAGACAGGATCTCACCCTGTCACCCAGGCTGGAGTATGGTGCTATGACCATGGCTCAGTGCAGCCTTGACCTCCTGGGCTCAGAAGATTCTCCCACCTCAGCCTCCCAAGTAACTGGGACCACAGACCAGTGCCACCATGCCCTGCTATTTTAAAACAATTATTTGTAGACACAGGGTCTTGTTATGTTATTCAGGCTAGTGAAATTTGATTATTTAATGCTAATAAGGCTAAAGAGGTGGTTTGGGTTTTGGCTTTTTTCCTCCCCCCTTTGGAATTAGGGCAAAAAAGTGAAGTAAATATTTATTTTATTAAGATCTCATTATATCTTTGTTTGTAGACATGTTTAAATAAAATAGTATCTCAGATATATCATAATATCTGGCCAAGTGTGATGGTTTATGCTTGTAATCCCAGCTCTTTGGGAGACTGAGGTGGGAGGATCACTTGAGGCCAGGAATTTGAGATTAGCCTGGACAACATAATGAGACCTTGTCTCTACAAAAAATAAAAAAAATTTAGGTAGACATGGCAGCGCACACCTGTAGTCCCAGACACTTGAGAGGCTGAGTTCGGAGGATTGCCTGAACCCAGGTGTTGGAGGCTGCAATGAACTATCATTGCACCAGTGCACTCCAGCCTAGGTGACGGAGCAAGACCCCATCTCAAAAAAAAAAAAATATATATATATATATACACACACACACAAATATGTATTCATATAACTATGTGATATATATAACTTTTATATTTTGTATGCGCAGCTTTTTATTGTGTTGTTTCTTTGTCAATCCCTGATTGAGTTCTTTCAAATACAGCATTTAACTTCCTATTGCTGAAAAAGAGGTGGTTTCTCCATTTAGTTAGGGTGGCAGTTCTCAATCACAGTCAACCCCATTCACAAGTATGTGACAATACAGAAATGTTGATAAGTAATGGATCAGGCCATCTGTATTATTTTATAGAAGATTTATTCATGGGCCTCTGTTTGGACAGCATTTATTCCAATTCTTTCCTTCCCTGCAAGTTGTCCTTGATTATGATTCTCAGCTTGGTCTTTTATCCACAGTCAACTTTTAGTGAAAATTCCTAATTTCTGTACTGGTTAGTTTAATATAATAAATGTTTATGAAATTCCTGTGCTGTTTAAGACACCCTGCTGGGTACTCAGGATCATTTTTGGAGGGATTAACTACTGTCTCTGTCCTTTAGAAGGAAATGGAAAATTTTGCCGTAATGAATATAAGTCAAATTGGGATAAACACTGTAAAAAGGGGTAAGAAAGTATCATATGTGCCCTGAGGAGAGAGGAATTTATTTTGCCTAGGAATCCGGTAAGGTTGCTAGACTTGGTGACATCTGAAATTAGTCCTTAAAGGAGAAACGAGATTTTGAATAGATGAAGTGGGAGAAAACATGCTAAGTTGCAGAAGTGTGAAATCCCATAATAGAGTCAAGGAAAGGAGAGAGGTCTGTTTCAACTTGAGCATTAGCTGTGTGTGAGGTGTGTATAAGGAGAAAATGGCAGGTGAGTTGGAAAAAATAGAATATTTTCAGTTCCTGAGGGACATTGAACATTATGCTAAGAAATTTGGACTTGATTAATAAAAGAAAACAGAAAGCTAGTAAAAGTGTGTGGAGTGAGAAGGCACACCATGATTATAACTGGACTTTAGAAAGGTAACTATTCGGGGTGTTGAAGATCACTTGGCGTAGAGAGAAAGCAAGTGGAGACAGGGATCCATCGGCAGGCTATTATAATAATCCAGGTATAGGTGAAGTGATGTAGGACGGTGATAATAAAAGCAGAAGTGAGAGACATTCTGAGTCTAGAGCTGGATGTGGTGGGAATCAGAGGTATTCACAGATGACTCTGAAGTTTGCAGTTCATGCCATTAGTAAATGAAGAAACCATGAACTGAGAGGAAGCAGGTTTGAAAGAGAAAACAATGAGTATGTGTGATGTTTGTAATACACTGTGATTATACATATCATTTCTTTCTTCTTTTGAACTAGATTGTTACAGCCATTCTTTTTGGATTCCATTATTAGAATTATAGCCTATTTTGCTTTAAATGTAGGATCCTGACACTTTCTGATTCCTCAAAAGAGGGGAAGAAAAGTTATATCTGCTCTCTACTACTTCTGAATACATTCCTGTTTACTATGATCTCAATGTGTCTGTGAGGAAGATCTTGAGCCCTACTCAAGGTAGACTCTTTGACCTAACTCCCCTTTCTCTGGCCATGCTCCTGAGGATGAGACAATTAGAAATCCTCACTAATGCTTATAGGATTCTCAGAGTTAGACAGAACTGGCCTTTGTCAAGGTAAATTGGAGCCAAAGTGGATTCTTGGATCGTGTATCTCCTGCTGGTTGTGAAGCTGCCAGACCCCATCCCAGTGGGTGGAAATGGACACCAGCCCCCGAGGAAGTAATGGCTGTACATGGGCGTCTGCTACCGCTGCTGCTTCCTCTCCTTCATGAGGAAGGAAACCGTGGGCTTTCCTAGGCATTTTTCTTGTTCTCTTACACAGGGGAACTGAAGAGTCTTGGCCTTTGGAGTTTGAATAGTGAATCTAAGGCTGGAGGGGTTTCCAGAGAGCAGACAGTTTCCATCTCTGAACTGTTGTTACTTTCTTCTTCCACCCCCATTCCTGTGCTGTACAATTCATTCTATCGCCAGACTTTTAGTGTATAGTGTTAGCATGTCTTAATGGAGAGCCTGGAGTTGAAAGCCCCTGTACAACTTCTAGGCAGAGAAACCTCAATGGAAGGAAGGAATTGTGCCACTGTGGTTTCCTCCTGCAAATAAAATTTAATTTGTAAAGATATTCAGACTTCTTTTTTTCCTTACCAGATTTGCACACCATATATTCAATGACAAGTCCTCTTGAAAGGTGGTGAGAAGTGTTACTAAAATTCCAAATATCTACTCCTCATCTGATAAAGCCATTCCGATGTTTGCAGTATGAATTTGTTTGCAGTTAGAATTCCCCACATTGACTACAAATCCCAGTCCACAAATTCAGCTCTGAATCTCTGGAAAACAGTGTGCCATGGGTAGATCGATCCAATTAGACTGTAAATTTAAGGCACCATGTGCTTTATCTGACTGAGCATTAACAATTTATTCAGCCCATTTTGCATCCCTTTTCCCACCCGAGCAAATTGAGAACACTACATTTGCTTCTTCATCTTTTTCCCTTCATGTTATGGCACAAAATCATTTCTCCAGTTCCAGTTCCTTTGATGTTTGCAACAGCAATGATGAAGAGAAAACACATCTTCAAAAGAGGCAGAAATATGGTAAGCATTGCCCACTGATAGTAGCTAAAAGGCATATATTAAACAACTACAGAATACCCAGCACATTGATGAGTCCCGTGTGGTGCAGAAAGAAACAAGCCCCTTCGGAGCTCACTGCAGACATATCTGAGTGAGGGAGGAAAGGGTTTGGAGCCCAGGAGTGGGAAAAAACGTATCATCATCTCATTGCTGGACTCTGATCCCTTAAAGTCCAAATTGAGGGGGAAATGGTCAGAGGAAAAGCATGTTTTCAGCCCCCTCCCATTTTAGAGACAGTCTAAGATGGAGATAGCAGGAGGGGAAGGATAGATATGGGATGGCCAACTAGTTTATTTGCAATAGGCTGGTTTTAATTCTTCAAAGTAGTGAGTTTGAGGGCAATGCAGTGCAAAAGACAACTTATTTATTTCATGTTAGATTATAAGCAACCTTGAAAGGCAAAAGTCCTCCTTTTTTTGACTTAAAAAAAAAACAACCCTCTGCAGTATCCTCTCCAAAGGCAGCAGGTTAAGTGGTAGGGTCCAGCCCTCAAAGAAACTGCTTTTCTCCATTCTCCACACACTTCCATAGACAATTGTAAGTTGAGAGACAAATCCTCCATCAGACATATTTTCCTTGTCAAATCATGCCCATCCCACCTGACCGACACTGATAGTCCTGGGAGCCAATTCTGATGCCAACCTGTGTTGAACTCCTAGATGTGAGTGCACTTTCTTGAAGGGCAGGTTGGGCTAAAACTTGACCTTTGGGAGCTTTGAGAGGTGGGAAGAGGAGCAGAGGGCTGCCAGGGAAAGAGAGATTTCCTGGTTATTGCTATAGGGAGTCTGTTTACTTGCCTTCAAGGGTCACAGCCATCTGAATGGGCTTCTCTGGCTCTGCTCTTGGGTTTGATTTCAGAGGACTCGGTCCTGTGGAATTCCACTCCCCATCGACCCTCCCCTTACTGTTAGGTATAGGACTTTTATTCCACAGTTATGACTCAAGCCTTCCTGAGGAACACTGCAGCTTTCTTGCAGGAGCAGCAATTGGAAAGGCTGTTTTAAGTGGAGTTTACTGCTGTTGTATAAACCTTCATTTAAAATTGACTATAAAGTGTTTCTGAACCTGCCAAACATGCATTAAAATATTTTGCTCCATTTATGCCTATGTGTAACATTTGGTTTCTAAAAAGCTTTAATCAGTAATCTTCAAGTAGGAAGTTATTCATCTTTATTGCCAGTCGGTTCTCAGTGGTGGTCGTGGCAACAATCTTTTTATTGCTTCTGTGTTTAGTTGTTCTTTGACATGATAGAAGTCAGCTGCAGTTCAATGAGCTCACTATTTGTGCAACTTAATTGCTTGCTTCCTTCAATACATACTAAATTTTTCCTTTTATGAGCAGGGCTGTTGGAAAAATTAAGCTTAAGGATATAGCCATACACTGTTAATTAACCTCCTTCCCAAACACATTAGTAAAATAGGTCAAATAACTGCTGAGTGCTAAGTGTACTGTTACTAAGGTCTTCCTCAGCTGAGAAGTGAATCCTGTATTAAGTGGACAAATATTGGAGCATTGAGTATTTTCTGGAAGCCATGAAGACATAAGAATAATGCTTTATAACAGTATTCTCTGCTGCATCGTCTCCTATAGGTTGTATGTATGATTTGACTTTATTTGGCTCTACCATGATTTTAGCTTATTTCATTATGTCTGTGTGAAAAGAAATAAAATATTTCTCTGTGTGTGGTTTTTCTTTTTTTTTTTTTTTTTTTTTTTGTTTATAGGTTATTGCTTCTTTTAAAAGGGGAACCCAAAATTCAACTTTCCCTTTTAGTAGTAACCACTGCTGTTAGTTTGATTCACAATTCTTAGAAAAATCTGGATGTTGCGAGGAAGTATAAATGCTTGTGATGAGTACAAAAATATGCTCAGTGAAGGAACTAATCTATCAAAATAGACTTATATAGAACTCTTATAATTCCTCTCCATGTCAGGATTATATTCAGATGGAAAATCACTTTAATTGCAGTGGTGAAGGGCAGATTGGAGCTTTACCAGCTTGACAGAAAATATTTTGATGTTTATAGACCAAAGAAAACATGAGAGTTCCCGAATTTGGCAGAAGGCAGGAAAATGTCAGAGTATAGTTTATACTTTTAGAAAGGGGAACACAAATGCAAAGACAAGTAAAATGGGAGCATGTGCCAGATAGAGCTAAAGGTGGACATTTGTGATCTCCGTCCTCTATCTGCAGTTCTATGTTTAGCCTTTAATTGGGAGTTAGTAAAGAGAAAAAGGAATCTCAACATCCCCCCTTAACTAAATGCTAAACCAATAAACACAATAAATTTCTTAAAAACTATTAGTTACAATCTAAATCTTGTAGACATATAGGTAGAGAATCCATATTTCTAAAATCATCTGTTCTGATAAAATCACTACCAAATATCAGTGGGGTCATTACTCTTCCAGTGTATTTGTGCCTCCGGACTTGGGTGTATTTTCTGCATTAAGATTATTTATTGAAAACCTTCTTGCAGCACCTTTTTTCCAATGTTGCTTCAGAATATCAGTGAATTGATGATATTCTGAATAGAACTGATGTTGAAATGGTAAACTTTGTGGATCTTACTTTGCCTACCTGCTAAAGAGGGATAACGACCCGTTGTCGGTCTACACTCCAGGGGATTGTTAAAAAAAAGTTAATTAACCATTGTCAAGCGCCTGAAGGCCAAAGCGTTTTCCCTGTACCTTACTGTATCACATCTTGATGAAGGTTACAGGAACAACTTCATACTCATTCGTTGTGGGTTCTTTTTTCTTTGTCTTTTTTTTAGACAGATTCTTGCTCTGTCACCCAGACTAGAGTGCAGTGGTATCATCTCAGCTCACTGTAACCTCTACTTCCCAGGTTCGAGTGATTCTCCTGCCTCAGCCTCCCAAGCAGCTGGGATTACTGTCATGCACTGACACCTGGCTAATTTTTGTATTTTTCAGCAGAGACAGGGTTTCACCGTATTGGCCAGGCTGATCTCAAGTTCCTGACATCAAGTGATCAGCTCACCTCAGCCTCCCAAAGTGCTGGGATTACAGGAATGGGCTGCCGCGCCTGGCTAGTTGTGAGTTCTAAAGCTTATTCTCTCTTATCTTTTGCCTCGATGAGACCTAAGATGCAAATGGCAGATTGTTGACACATGGAAAATAGTTGAACCATCTGAAAGGTTAAGTATGGGAAGAGGGGCACTGCATTTCCACATGCCTGTAGATGCTCTGGTGCCTATCGTTTTTGTGCTGGTCCACAGACTTCAGGCTCAGGGAAAAGGAGACTGTAACTTTTGGTGAAGAAGGAGCTGCTATGAATCAAAGTCAAGGGATTGAATTAACGCTTTTTTCCTGTCTAACCAATTGCGACGGCAAATTTCATACCTTTGGAAAGTTGAAAATACTTGTCAAGAAAAGAAAAAAAAGTGGAAGTCTAGGATTGACAGGTATGAGGAAATAAAGAATTTTGGAAACTTTCTGAGGCATTTAGTCTTTGTAATCATTTTTTGGTATTCTCACACAGAACCCTATTGCCAACCTGCCTGAGGCAAATTTGCATGTGTTAGGTTTAACTTCTTTTATTTTAACTTGCCTTTAAAGTAGCCAAACCTTTGCCTCCGCGTATGTTGGGTGGTGTTAACCCTTCATGAATTGACAGTGTGGTCATTTCATGGATTTGTCCACTATGGCTGTAGCTTTTCTACCAGTCATTGGTAGACTAATTAAACAAATCCCGGAAGGAGACCTTGGAGCCACGAAAATACTTTGTACAACCAGCAGGTGGCACTGTGTATACTACAGTGATGAAGAAACTGGGCTATAGGAGGCAAAGATGAAAGGGGGAAGGAAGAACTGGGATAATGAGATAATATAAGCTAGTCTACAGATCTTTGGGAGGTTAACAGGGCATCTTAGAAAGCTATAAACCAGTCTCTGAATGTGGAAGGCTGCCATGGATTTGCCTTGTAAGAATATTTCTCAGATTTTTAAAGCCTTTCCAGTGATACAATTGATATCTGCTTAAATTCTACTTATATGCTACTGCCCTGAGTTGAAAAACAAACCTGAACAGAATATTTTTAGGTAATTTTAGAATAAACGTTTACACATATTCTAAAACCACAGCATGTAAAACAGGAACTCAAGCCTGGTGTATATAAAATATAAAAAATCACATTTCATGCTTAGAGAATATTACTCAGTAAGGAAACAGGTTAATTTGATTTGTTATATTAAAGAAATAGTAAGGACATTTTCCTGACCTTCATTAGCTTTTGCATTCTTTGTCGTCTATGATTCTCTTTTCTTTAATAATTCATTTGAAAGAGACTTCTGTAAATCAACTTTTAGAACATACTTTTTGGGGTAAATTTTTGCTGCTTTGGAAGCTCATGTAGTGATTTATCTAGGTAATCAAATTGAATTCAGAGATGGCAATGATTATTTACTTCCAATTATTATTTACTTCTGAGATGGAAGAAATTGTCCATACTACCACAGTTCTCTTGTGAGGGTTGGTGTTTGTTTCTTTTTTCCTGAGCCGTCAGAAGAAAACTTCTTTTGTAGCCTAGACCAGAGGCAGAGGCAGGTCCTGAGAAGGAAATATAATTCCTGTCAATAAACATTTCCTAAGCTAAGGCCTCTTGGGAACACTGGCCTTTCTGTAGAAATGTAGACTTTTCTCCCTGACAAATTTATGCTCTCTGGGGGCAGATGTTTGAACTACTTTTCCTCTCTGCCTCCAGGGGTACAAAACAATTGTGTCCACATGTGGGTGGAGTCCATTGTTCCAGAGGAAAGCTGAGAAGACTGTGAATATGTGGAGGACTGTTCTAGAAATCAGTAATGGATTGATTATCACATCCTACCTGAGGGCAAGGAACTGAGGTGGAAGTGGGAAGAGGAACAACAAAGCTAGATGTAGGACAAGGTGGCAGGAATTGGGATCTGAGAGTGGCAAGTCAGAGTCTTAGGGTCCAGTTATAGTGACCTCAGACTCTTGCCCAAGTTCAGAACCTTAAATGTTGCAGCCTGCCCAGTCTGGTAGGAGCTGAGGCAGGCATCTGGCTGAGTTGCTCAGGGAGGATGCTATGAGTGGTCTCTCCACGTGACTGGAAAGTTTGACCAACTGAGGTGGACCTGGGATGGAAACCAAGTCACTATATATTCAGAAACAGGGATATTTCTGATTCATCAGGGTAGGCTCCTCTCCTGTTTCTTGGAACAGATTCCCTTCTTCTGAGTCTGGAGCCTGGGCAGTACTTGAGCAACAACAAGGAGCATAAGTTTCCTGTCACTTCCTCTTTGGCAGGTTGTGTCTGCAGACACTGGCTCCCATACCCCATAATTACTTTTTCACATTTTTTAATATAGTAACACATGGTTGGGCTTGTGGTGGGGGAACCAAGTGATGCCTCCAGGCCATGAACACTATAAATAACTTCAGGGATCATTTTATATGGTTAGGGAAGGAAGCAGCTTCTTTCTTAAGAAATAGCTCCAAGTAAAGAAGCAGGATTTAGGAACAAATAACTTTTATTTTCCAGAGCCCCTTTGCCTTTTCTGTTTCTCTATACATCAGAGATCTTATTGGTATTAATTTGTCTCAACAGCCTTTCTTATACCACGTTTCTGCTTAGAGTGGTGATTGCAGCCATCTCATCATATAGAGAAAAGTTCATACATTTTGTTTGTGAATGTGCAACTTTGAGCTATCAAGTCCATTTTCCAGGGTTTGCTTCTGACTGTGAATTCTGAAACAGGCACCCATGTGCAAGTATATATGTTGATTGAAGACCCATATTATTTGAAGGGACTTCAATAAGCAATCTAGAAACAGTTCCTCATGCCTCTGACCACATTTTTAAACCACTTAAGGGAACCCAATTTTAGAGCTTCCTGGAAATAGTAATTTAGGACATTTGTTGTAGAGACTCGTGTTTAGCAATCTTCATTGTTAAGAAGGTCTTCATTTTATATAACTTTCCAATGGATTTAAAATGTTTTGCTTCTTTATTCAGTGGAGGTTGACAGTAGCTTATTATGATTAGCTTTCAATAACTACTTTTTATATGTCTCAGTGACCTGGTATCCAAACTTGACATAATTTAATAATTAACACCTAAATAAGATCAACACTACTTTCTATTGAATAAAAATCTAATAGAAAAGTATCTGTAGCAAAAATATTCCAAAAACACTTTCTAGGTTTCATTAGAGTCGGTATGCTTTTGCTTGACCCATGTTTGTACAGATTTGATCCTCACAGTTCATTTCTAAGCAGAGCAAGTAGTTTGGATTATCTTTGCATTATATGTAATATTGCTCTATAATATATTTACAATTCAGGAAGGCAAAGACACTAGCCCAATGACAGAGATACAAAAAGGACCACAACTGTGGTAGGCATTAGAATCATGTTTCTCTCTTAGTGACATTAATTCACTGTAATAAAACTGTATCTATAGGCAAATGGACTCATTTTATTCCTTGCATCTTGTGTAAGAATTGCATAACCATCTGGGACCAGGAACAAAATGCAGTGATAGACAAGTCTGCAGGACTGAGGAGGAACAAACGGGACAGGTCTCCAGGGGAATATGTGAGGAAAATCAGAATCTATCGTCCTTAGTCACTCTGGGTCAATATTTGCCAGACTCACAGGGTACCTGGCACTGTGCTCCAGGTTTCCAATCTAACAAGCAGAGGTATAAATGTCTCCCTCTCACAGAAGGAACCGTCATTTTACTTCTCTCCTGAAAATGTGTTCTTGTAGACAGTGGTGGTTCCTTCATCAGAGGGCTGGACCTATAATGTCTCTGGCTTGTGTGCACCTAATGCTGTGGTGTTTGCATGACTGGGGAGTCACAAAGAGACTGCAGTTGAATTGTCAGTTCCAACATGTAATGCCGTTTGATGATTTTATTTTAAAAACTTCTCAAGTGCTGAGAATCTGATACAGCATATGTTTTGATGTGGTGCAGTGATAGCCACAGTATCTGTCAAAAGGAACCATGAGAGATGAAATAGCAGAGTACTTTTCTCTCATGATGTAGATGTAGCCATACTTGCGAAGGAAAAAGCGTGTATTGTTTCTTGGGCCCCATTCCCTAAACTCCTACACAAACCCTGTGGGATTAAGTAAGCTGGCACCAGTACTGCAAGTTCTTGTTAACCATATATGCCCCAAGGCTCTAACACAAACAATCCCTATTATAAAATAAGACCTTTACAAAAAACATTTTCAGAAAATACTTGTACCTGTTTTCTGCCATGCTGCATTTTTTGAGATGGTTACATGCTTACGTTAGGGCATGGCGTATCGCCAAAGCTAGAGGTCTGCCTGCTGAAGTTTCAATAGTGCTCATTATGAAGGAGAAGTTTCTATTCCTACCCCTGGAAGGAAAAAGCCACTCACAGATAAAGTGTATGATATGATTACCATTGCTTTAGATAACCACAAGTAGTACTTCCGACATGATAAGGGATCGTTTTCTATCTTGAGCTTACAGAGTTTAGACAGCCTTTTTAAGCAATGGTGGTGGCATTTTTGAAGGCCACTTGATTAGTTTGGATCCTGAGGGAGCATGAAGTTGCCATGCAGATAAAAATCAGCACTGGTTTCAGCTACCGTGGCAATTGCAGCGAGAGTAGGGGGGGCTTTGGAAAAGGTTCGGAATCAGAGAACGAAAGGCCCTAGTGACTTTGGCAGGGTTATTTAAAGGTCTTGTGACTAAACACCAAGCATATCAGGAACTGTGAGATAGTTCCTTTTCTTGTGCTGGCTTCATGATGGTTAAGCTCACTGAGAGAGCTAGAATCCTCAGTCCTCAGAAGGTATATCAGTGAGGCAGATTCAAATTAAAATAGGAGGGTTGGCTATCAATATCTGGTTTGCTGGAGGGAATATGAACAGGGAAATTACAGAGCTAATGAGAATTTAATGAGTTAAATTGTAGAAAGGAAATTAAGGGCCCATCCTGACAACTGGGCTATTATATAAGCCTAAGCCCTATTGTATGAACCTTTTACTATCCTCATGAAAAAACCAGGGATAACACTCTAAGATGAGCAATATTGTTAATTGGCAAAATAAGAAATGTTAGTTACTCCTTCCTGATACTTTGACAAGTAATTAATAAATGGACTGTTGACTACTACCTAAATCCAGAGGGGGGAAACCAGAGTAGGAATGGAGAATTTAAAATAAGGTCAAAGGCCGGGAAAGTGTTTGCATGTATGTGTGTATGTGTGCATATGTAGTCAAAAAGAAAAATTCCAATTCGTTATTATAACTTGAATGTTTAGTCTTTCCCAAGAAGCATCTGAAAGATCAAAAGAGGTCAGATGTACAGAACAGGCTTATTAAAATGTATTGGGATGAGTGTTTTGATGCTTTTTTTACCTTGAGACTGATAGGTAACAGCAAGGATCAGTATAAGAAAAAAAGAACAAGAGATTTAATTTCTTCAACTTTTCCACCCCCGTTCCTATGGTTCCACCCTGTGGAATTGCTGGAGGGACTTTTATGGTACTACCATTGCTAGAAGGATTGGATATGGTTGGGGGCTATCTTGGGGGGAATACTTGTCCTGGCTGTGTTTTAATACCTAGCATGGCACTCAAACTTATAGTTCTTGAAGAAAATTTCTGTGTTTTGAATGGTAATAGAGAAAAAGCTATCTATCCCCTTAACTTGCTATCTTCAATTTTCATTCCTTCATGAGAGATGTAATAAGTCTGGGAATTTCCCTCTTTGCTAGGTGGGGATGTGATTACCCAACTGTTGGCAGGGTGCTTGGGATTATCCAGATGGAAATGCTATTTAAGGGCTAGGTATTAGGGTTTCACTATTTAAAAATTAAAATGTCCCCAAATGAGCTTTATTTGTGTTTCTCTTAAAGTCCTTGTTATAGGAAGTTGCCCACAGAGGAAATGCAGCTCAGAGGTTTCTGGGACCAGCCATAGCTCTTGAGATGGGTCAGAGGCAGTCACCAGTCAGGGGCTTGGCCAACAGAACTGCTATGTACCTTTTCCAGTTTGTAGCCCTCCCTTTCGTTCCCAGAACTAAAAGACCCTCTCTGTCACATGGGAGACTCTCTGACCTTAGGAAATCAAGGTATCATGCCCTATGGCATGTGGAAGCCTTATATGCCTTTATGAGCTGGGTGAAGCCCTCATGGAATTAGTCTTATTAGGCAGTTTTCAGGTGCTTTTTAAGTTATATTTTATTTGTCTGTTTTTAAAAAGGGATATCATTCTTGTCACTTTCCATTCTTTAAATTTCAGCTCTTGGAGTTTTCTCAGTGAGAAGGAGACTCCCATCCTTTTTTTTTAAGGAGGGGTTTGAGAGCTCATCCTGCTCCAGGGTTATGGCAGATTTGCTGTTACTGTTGCTGCTTTCTTTTCAAAGTACCGTAGGTCACATGATGACTTCCAGGCCCAAATGGGGAGATGATGTGGATAAAAGTATTTAGCAAGAGATCAAAAACTGGGCTGCACTTCTAAATGGCTCGCCTTTTAGAAAAAACACCTTAGCCTCTCACCCAGATGTGGTTGTGGGTAACTGTCAATGCGGCACACAGGTGGCACAGTTGTCTTGCCATTTACTGCCTGATGCCTCGGCAATTGCTGCCAGCCCTTCAGAAATAGGAAATGACTAATGATGTGGTGGAAATTATGAACCAGGATTAATAAAACTTGAAAAGGAACAGTCTTCAGTGTTTGATCCTCCTTAGAGGAAGTTAAATCTGAGTCCTAGATTCTTTTCCCTGAGGTGTTCTTCTGACTTTTTCTGATTACTCGGTTGTAGTGGGGGTCTACGCTAGAGCTAGAAACAGTGAACCAGATGGTGCAGGAAGCAAAGTGCTGCTCCCATCCCTGAAGGTACAGACACATGTCCTGTTCTGCAGCCCATCTGTGAAGAGTCCAGTTAAAGGAGACATAAGCACAGGGCAAATATTTACCTTCTAAAGATTGAGATTTAGGCATGTTCATGAAGAACTTTCTGGAAAGATTTCATTTACTACCTGAGCAATTTACTACCTTATGCTTTCTCATTAAGGACAATTGTTTGGGTCTCCATAGATGTCAGGGAGTTGACATTTTTCTTTTTAATTTTGGAATCAGAATTTCTTTTTCTTAAGGCCCATGCCAGGCATTCTTTCACAATACTGTGGGCCTGTCTTCTAGTTTTCTTCTCCCCACATTCTCAGGCTCCTCTTTTCTGCTTGGGAAAATGCTATGTAGCCAAAAGGGTAAATGTACATATTGTTTTATAGGTGAAGAAGGTAGTATAAGGTATAATGAAAAAAAAAAATAAAAGAAACTTATAGGAGTTTAGTATTATCCCTCAATTTCACAGCTGGAAGGAGTTGAATTCTGGAGCCCAACTCTGGGGTCTGAACCCTCTACCTTCCTGTTTTGGACCTTCATCAAGATGACTTCCCCTTATAACTGAGCTTCACCAAGCTAATGCTAGCAGGATCCTTGAGGGCTCTTGGAAAACAGATTCCTTCAGGACCTAGTCCTTGGAATATGGATTAAAAACACTTTTCCTAGCTCCATATTTTCCCAAGACCTTTGTCTTATGCTACCCTAGGACTGCAGTGGACCTGTGGCACTTGTCTCTCTTCAGATCCTTGGGCCATCTCTGAGAGAGAGGTTGTGCATTTAAAATAAGACCTTAAATCTTCTTTTGGCTCTTGCTCCCAACTTTGTGGTCCTGTCAGTTGGCTTTGTACAATAATGAAAACAAATGCTGTAAAACAGGATTTAATGGATAAACAGTAGTTAAAATGAAGAGTATATTTTCCCCTTGCCTTGTTATCTTAGCTATTCCATTACAAAATAAGAGGGTTAAGAAAAACCTGGTAAAACAGAATTCGAGAGCCCAAATATCTGAAAATACATTTCATTTAACAAATACTTCAGTGTGTTTTCTAATGGCTGATCCTTTCCCAGTGGATGGACCTACTGGAGTTTCCTCAAGTGGAAGGCCCTATCCTTGGCTACTGGGAACCCTAAGCATGATGCTAAGGCGTCCTCCATTGATCACAGCAATGAGAGATGGGAAGACAGCAAGGGTAGGTCTCTGAGTGTCCCTCTCTTGTGTGTGGACGTTGCTCTGGAGGCAGATAGGGCCTCCTATGACAGCTTAGAAGGGGAGGCAGGACCCTCTCTAGAGCTGAAGTGGAACCACCCCTAAAGCAAGGCTCAGGAGGTGCAAATGCTAGACAGCAGAAATTGCACTGTCCGGTAAAGCTTTCCTTTTTTCCCTTGTCTCCTCTCTCCAGGAAGTTCTGAGAAATTTTTCTCAGAGGAAATGGAGTGAAATGAGCTCTCAGGGCAGCCTTGCAAGGGAAAGCTTGTACAGGAACAGGATGGAAGAGGGAACTTGGATGGTGCTGAGTCGTTGTAGACAGTCAGACCTTGGCCTTATGCACTGCTGGATGTGCATGTGTGAACCACGGGTCTTCTCCAGGACCTGCTGGCAAGGCTACCTCCAGTTTCCTGTGCCAAGAGTTCTGATTCCTTCAGCGGCCTTGAATCCAGCTCTGGGCACAGTTGGCTCCAACTGCTGAAACTTCTGCCCAGTTCTGTGCTGAAGCCTTACACTAACTGTGGCTCCATGAGTGGGTGCCTGTCTGTCTTGCACTTGGTTCTGGCATTCTGCTTCAGCACTTGGCCAAAAGGCCAGCCACTGGGTTTGTGGAGCTGGATTTGCAGTGGCCCTTGACTGCTGCTCTGCAAAGGTTTTCTTTCTTCCCTTTTACATTGTTGTCTTCAGGCTGGCACTTGAAGGAGCCCAACGGGCCATTACAGTCACACAGTCAAACAAAGATCTTTTAAGAGAACAATCGTCATTTGTTTCCCAGTTGGCATTTCTGGAGATTTAGCAGGATAATCTTGGATGTACGTCAGCAAGCATGAGCAGGAATCATCTTAATCCTTAACAAGGCATACAAATGAATTGGGACCACGTGAAAAGTGTACAAAGAATTTCTCTTTCTTCTTTCTTCTCCTGAATTCCAGCTGTAGGGGCTTGTGTAATTTTTGTTGGGGGAGGGGGAGTTTCCTTTTGATCCAGTAACCTGATGCAGAGATGGGACTCCCTAGGGTTTCACCTTTGGGGATCCTCTGGGCACTTTGTGTATTCTAGCATACTCTTTATTCCCGAAGAGAGCTACTGCCCCAACTCCCTGTCACAGGCAGATCCCTTGAAGTCTTAGCTGGGAAACACAGCTTGGACTGTTCTAGTCATTCTTTTAAAGTCCTGACTTGAGTTAGCCTCAAAAAGGCAACTACTGAATTCCCAATTCCATTTGATTTTACAAAGGCAAATGAGCTCCCCACATACAAGGACCTCCAGCTGTTTCCTCTAAAAGAAGAGAGAACAGCAAGGATGTCCAAGAGTCTCTCCCCAACAGTTGCTTCCTCCTCAAGCATCTACCAGTTATGTCAGACCTGTCTGAGGAGACAGAAGGGGCAGAGGGAGAGGTATTTGTTGACTCCTTCACCCGCAAAGTGAGACTCCATGATGCCTGTGATACGAGTAGGTCCCTCTTTGAGGAGCTTGAGGAAGTTAGGCAGGAAAGGGAGGGAATATATGGAGCCAGCACTTTTCTCTCAGCAGTGCAAGAATTGTTGGGAACTTTTATTTTTCTTGTTTGTTGTTTGATCCGCTGTGCTCATTGATGTTATTGTTAAACCAGTTTCATTTATATGGAAATTTTTAAATCTAATTTGCATTTTCCAGGATTTTTTCTCCCCATATTTAGACAAATTAATTTTATCAAATAATATGACGTTTTAGTGATTCTTTCTTCCAATTAATTATTTTTTGAAGGTTTACTTTTTTCTTTTTGCAAATAATTAAATGAACATTATATATGATCATTTATGTGATTAGAAAAATTTATGATATAATCATTGTTTAATCCTGAGGTTGAAATCACTTTAGGTTTTCACTATAGATTCTGTGGCCCTCCAGCCTATGTACTCCCTTGGATCTATGGTATTTTCTGTGGTTGAAGACCCTCACTACAGATTCCTGGTTTTGTCATTTTCTCCCTATATTATTGAGTAGAAAGTGAAAAATCCTATGAGCTACATCTTTTATATTTTCCTCTAACTCTTCTCAACCCCTAGTTACAACTTCTAGTATTCCTAATATTAGTTGAAAGAAGAAATGATCACACAGATTTTTTTTCCTAAAACTTCATTTATTCACCAGTTATCACTTTGACATTAAGGAAACTTTTACTGACTGTTTCCAATTAGCTATAGTAACCTACAGGATTTTTACTTCATCTTTTGACCTCTCTATCTAACCAGAATCATGTAGAATTTTAGAACTAGAAGGCACTTTAGCATCTAGTCCTAGGATGTCAAACATGGTTCAAGTTGTTTGCTGGTCCTGAGCCTTTGGTCAAGACTGGCTGTCTAGAATGCTTTCTCAAGGATAACTCTGAGGCTGGGTCTGGGCTTAGTGGGAAGGACTTCTATGACCAATTAGTGGTATTTGCAAGAAGTATGGGCAGAAAGAATCATAGAACTGGTGATATCTATCTGATCTTCTTAGTTCTGATTAAATGCTCTTATTTTTTTGTTGTTGTTGTGGTAACTAAAGTCTGGAGCAATAAAGTGATTTTTCCAAGATCATCCAGTAAATTAATGGAAAACCAAGGACTTGAGCCCATTGTGATGGAGACTTTAAGTAAACACAGAGGAGTAATCTTTATCTTTTTTTACTCTCTTCAGTATTGTTCCAAGGGAACTAAAAGAAAAAAAAAGATATTACACATAAGAACAAATAATACAGTGAATGAGATATTAACAGATGGGAAACACTGGAAATACAGAAAATAGGTAGAGTGCTGGCTGTAGTGGCTCACACATATAAGCCCAGCACTTTGGGATGTCAAGGTTGGCATCCCGGATTGCTAGAGGCCAGGGGTTTGAGACTAGCTTGGACAACATGGAGAAACCCTGTCTCTACAAGAATTCTTTTTTTTTTTTTTTTTGAGACAGAGTTTCGCTGTTGTTACCCAGACTGGAGTGTAACGGCACGATCTCGGCTCACTGCAACCTCTGCCTTCTGGGTTCAAGCAGTTCTCCTGCCTAAGCCTCCCGAGTAGCTGGGACTACAGGCATGCACCACCATGCCCAGCTAATTTTTGTATTTTTAGTACAGACAGGGTTTCACCTTGTTGATCAGGATGGACTTGATCTCTTCACCTCGTGATCCAACTGCCTTGGCCTCCCAAAGTACTGGGATTATAGGCATAAGCCACCGCACCTGGCCTTCTACAAGAATTTTTTTAAAAAAAATAGCCAGGCATGGTGGCTGGGACCTGTAGTACTAACTACTTGGGAGGCTAAAGCTGGAGGATCACTTGAACTGGGGAGTTCCAGGTTGTAGTGAGCTATGATTACACTACTATATTCTGCCTGGGAGACAGAAAAAAAAAGGAAAAATAAGGAGAGAATGTATGTTGTAATAAATAATAAATCTGGTCGTTGTCCCCAGCTCCTGTCACACAGCTGCAAAAAATACTTAGAGTTTTCCTGATAGGTATGTTATATTAATGAGGTGGCTCATTATGGGTTCCTAGGTAGCTTAAGGATGTGGGCTGATCATCAGAAAGACCAAGCACAGAATTAGAGGGTTGGAACTTTCTGCTAGCCCAACCTCCAGGGAGGGGAGAGGAGCTAGAGATTGAGTTCAGCTACATGGCCAATGATGCAATCAACCATATTTACCTAATGAAACCCTGAAAAACTTGGCATACTGAGGTTTGGAGGAGCTTCCTTGTTGTTAAACACATTGATGTGCTGGGAGCGTGACATGCCCTGACTCCAAGTGGAAATGGCATAGAGACCACATCTGGGACCCTCCCAGACCTTGCCTTATATGTGTCCTTTATAATAGAACTATAATTGTTAAGTTTGGTGGTTTTAGTGAGTTCTGTGAGTCATTCTAGTGGATTACGAAACCTCATGGGAAGTTGTAGGAACCCCCAAATTTGTAGATGGTCAGAGGTTTGGGGGCTCTAAGGACTTTATTGGTGGCTAGCACCTGATGTAGGCTTCATGTGGACCACTAAGAATCTAATGTTACTCCAGGTAAATGTGTCAGAATTGAATTGCAGTTTACCCAGTTAGGGTGTAAATGGAAAAGAAGGTGTAGGCTGAGGGGAAAATCAATCAAAAGTAAGTCAGTGTGTCCTGGAGAACCTCTGCAATGCTGTCCTTGAGGCACCAGAGCCTCAGAAAGGAGAGCGGTGTGGGGCTGAACATAGGGATCAGACCTCCTCAGTAACCTTTTTCTTCCCATGGTTCAGGTAGTTAGGTTTCTGCAGTAACCCTTTTCTTCCCATCATTCAGGTAGCTATGCTTTTGCAGTAACCCTTTTCTTCCCATTGTTCAGGTAGCTATGCTTCTGCAGTAACCCTTTTCTTCCCATTGTTCAGGTAGCTATGTTTCTGCAGTAACCCTTTTCTTCCCGTCATTCAGGTAGCTAGGCTTCTGCAGTAACCCTTTTCTTCCCATTGTTCAGGTAGCTAGGCTTCTGTTTCTCCCCACAGCATGAGACCCAGGGTTCTCTGGAGAAAATGTTCTGGTAGGTTTCTAGATATGCAGTTGCTGAGACCATTGGAGGGTGGGATATGGGATTGAAAACTGGCATTAAATACATTGAGAAGTCTACATACTGAATTTTAGGATCCTCAGTCCTCATGTTTTATTCTACTCACAGAAGACCTGAAGCTAAGCTTATAATGACACTTTCCACAATTTCTAACCTCAAGGTGAGAGTAGAGACTCTTCTATGGAGAAACAGTAACAACTCCAGCAATAAGACCTTCTAATACTGATATATAGTGACTTCCCAAACATAAAGATGGGCTCACTTCTTGGTCAATGTGAAATGAAACCCACCAAATGACAAACCCCATTCACCTTCTCAGCTTTTTAATCCCTCAGTCTTAAACATGAATGGACAGCCAAGAGTCACCAGATGTTTGAGAAAAGAGGCCAACATTAGAGAGAGAGAGAGAGAGAGAGAGAGAGAGAGAGAGAGAGAGAGAGAGAGAGAGAGGAGAGAGACAAAGGGGGGTTGGGGAAAGAGAGACCAGACAAACAAATGAGAACCTAGAAGAAGAATCATAATAAGAAGCAAAATACAACTTCAGAAAACCCCCTCAACTGTAACCTTTAATACCCCCAGAAAGATGAGACAATATTGTAACAGAGAGAGAGAGAGAGAGAGAGAGCAAGCGCGTGCGCGCAAGGGCACAAATAAGACACTTACTAGCTATGAGACCTTGGACAAGTTATTAACATCTCTGAATCACTCACCAAATGGAATAATAATAGTACCTGCCTTTTTTGAAGATTAAATGAAATAATATATGTAAAGCACTTGGACAATGCCTGGCTTATAAGTGCCATTATTAGTTATTAAGAAAAGGCTCTTGGAAATGAAAAAATATAAAATTGATATAGAAGGGTTGGTAGGTAGAATTGAGATCTCTTAGAAAGCAGAACAAAAATACAAAGAAATGGAACATAGAATAGAGAGGATAAAATTGAAGGCTGAGTTCAGGATGTCAAGCCTAGAACATCTGTAAGTTCTGTAGAGAACAGAAAAAACAAATGAGAGGAGATTATTACATAAATAACAGAAGATGTCATAGGATGAAAAGTCACAGATTTCTACACTGAAAGAGCCTTCATAGGAGGGTAGAAGAGGCAGTTTCTTAGCAAAACAAGGGAGTAACTAAGAAACAGAAACCTGAGAGAGAGAGAGGTAATGAGCTCTTTAGTAAAAGAAATCTAGAATGACAGCTATGAAGTAAGCCAAAAGAACAAGAGAACCAAAATAAATCTGGAGAGAAGAACTCTGGGTAGAGGCAAGGGGTGGAAATAGAACTGGGAGTATGTTTGTGCATTTGGAAAAAAAATTGACAGATCAGTTTGAGCAAAATTAGTAATAAGTACAAGGAAAATTGAGCAGATAAAAATGAGGCTAAATTCTCATTGACCACTTTAAGAAAATGATTGTTAATGTCTAAAAGGCACAAATAAAAAAATAACAGCATAAGCCTTTTATTTAGAAATGTGGTATTGAACTTCTTCTTCCAGCCAAGATGTGGTAACAGGGATCACATGTATCCTCCTGTTAAAACAATAAAAATAACCTGGGCACCATATATGAAAAAAGCATGTTTCAAAATATTGAGACTCAGGCAAAGAGGGACAATTATCTCTGAGAAACAGGTATCAAATGAGATGAGCCCTGTATTTACCCCAGATTGCTGCCTTGAGAGAAATTTGAGATCATGGTGCAGGGAGGAGGAATGCCGGTAGATTCTGGTGGACTCTTGAGTTGAGAAAATGGAGCTGGGGAGGGAGGCCAGGGTGGCTGGATTTCTCAGGGAAGGGTACCAGAGGGAAGAACGCTCACCAAAGGAGAGCAACAGAGATCTGCAGCAGTTCCCTCAAGTTAGCTGGATGCTGATCAGTATTTGCATGTTGAGAAAATGAATCATGGTTGGGGAAAGAATCATTAGGAAGGATTAGAGGGAATGATTAAGAGTTTATGTTCAAGAAGGTAGAAGGAAAATTCAGCATTTTAGAGACATGGAAGATATAAAAAGACCCAAATTGAGCTTCCATAGGTGAAAACTGCTACATCTGAGATGAAAAATGGACCCAAATGGATTAACAGATTATATGTCACTGAAGAAAAGATGAGCAAACCCAAAGATATAATGATCAAAACCAT